GGAAACTGGAAAAGAGAACACAGGTGAACAAATTCTTTTCACCTAGACATATCTAGCTCAACAGTACTATACCATGAGAGGTGATATGCTCCAGCCATGAGTCACACTGGGCTGCAGCCTTTTGTAGATGGAGAGGCTCATCAATCAATCAACCTTTATTTATACAGGTAAATCCCATTGAGCCTCGAGGACTCATTTACAAGAGAGACCTGATTTCAACAAAGAAAGATGACAACAATGGACAACAGCAACAACAATAAACAGTTATAAAAAAAAGCATACTACAGTTTTTTTTTTTTTTTTTTTTTACAAATAGGATGGCTAAAAGGAAAATTAGGCTGATGACCGCCAGGTGTTGTTAATCAGCGGCCATCAGCAAGGCAGGCTGCAGGCAGTTGGACCCTTACAGTCCTGAAGGTTTTATTTCAACATTCTAATAGACTTATGCATTATTGTCCAACAAGGAAGTGACTAAAAAATGTTCACTTTGAAGATAATAATATTTTAAAGTACAAAGGTTGTTAAGAAGGTGAATAGGAGACGAATAATATCTGATTGGTTGAGCTGAGAAATGAAAAGGCTGAATGTCATTCAAATAAGTGATAAAGTTCACGATCACATTTGACTCTTCAAGAGAATTGTGTGTAAATAAATCAAACAATGATGTGTTTGAAGCTTTAAGATCAAAATGCAGGTAAATCCAGTCAGAAATGTTCTTTGTATAAAACTAAACACTAGAACTTGACCTGACTGGATAAATGTGGATCCAGCAACACAATTCCCTCAAAAACTACGTTTCTACTAGAGCTTTACAAAGTATTACTGTGTGAATGTAAAATATGTCGTATTTAATTGTAATATGTTTCTTCTGAGTGTTTTTTTCTGGCTTCATGTTACTTCGTTAGTTGGGTCCATGTTTGGTTTGTGATGAACAGAACTCCACAATCAAATCAAACCATCCAGTGGCTCTATTGTTGTGACAATGCATCCCATGATGTCCACTTGTGTTCAAGTGTCAGTTCAGTTTGTGTACAAGTACTAGATTGTATGATGTGTTGAGTGTTGTATCACAGTTTCATGGTGGCTGGCTCTGCCTTCAGCAGGAGCAGTTCTGTTCGCACTTTGATGTTTTACCAGAGCTCTTTGTAATTCTATTTTTATAAAGTATGCTATATTTTAAAACTAAACACATATTTTACATCCAACATGTAGATTTTTATTCAATAACAATAAAATGAAGTCGGCTCTTATTAAAGAAGGATGTAACAGTGTGAGGTTTGAAATGTTATTTTTCTTATTAAATGTAACAATAGACATCATTATGATGATGTCACTTTTAAATTTGACTTGAATTGTGTTTGATTTGTGCAACAACTGTTCCATGTGATCTCTGCAAACCCACCTGGAGCACGGCCTCCAGGGAGACTAAATAATCAAAGAACAAAACTATAATGATCAAAAGAGAAATGACTTGTGATCCGAAACATAAAGATCCATGAAATAATGATGAAAACACACTGATCGTGACATCATCACAGAGAAATCATCTTCAGTGCTCTTTATGAAATGGAAGAAGTTACAGGAAGCAGCTTTATGTCGTCCACATGGCGTTTATCATTTGAAATGATTGAGTCATTTTTACATTCACATATTAATAACAGCTTTATGGTGAGAGTTACTTCTCTAAACAATTGTAAAATAGTGTAAATTCATTAAAGTATGAATGAGATGAAGGTGTAACATTCCTTGAACTCATCAGAACATCTGGTCATAGTGGATGTAGTTTGAGCTGTTTGAGTCAAACTGTACAGATGACCTTATGAACAATCTCAGGTTATTGTGGGAGATCATTTGTGATCTGTTACCTCTTGAAATATGTTTTGAGGATGACTCTCAGCTACTGCCACATCAGCTGCAGTTCAGTATCTGACACACTCAGTACTTGTGATTTTTGGTTCAATTGGCTGTGGTGGCCATCTTGAATAGGTCGACTCCTAAAGATATATTTACTTAAAAATATTACTTTTAGAGACTTTAACTCAAATCAATCACTAATTTTATAACATCATTTGAGAATGTAAAGGATAAATAAAGAATCATTTTAACTCAGATCAATGGTCAAGTGGTCATTCCATATGTTGAGGGAGTATCAGAGAAACTGAGACGTTTATTTTCTAAACATAACGTCCCAGTGGCTTTTAAACCCCAAAATACATTACGGCAAAGACTGGTTCATCCCAAAGATCCAGTCCCCCGGCACAAACAGAGTAATATTGTGTATGCTGTTCAGTGTCAGGAGGGCTGTGATCAGTCTTATATCAGGAAATCCGTCATTAAACAGGGGTGGAGGCCTCCGGGTTCAACTGTCCCCCTCTTACACTGCTGTGATTGCTAGTATCACTCAGCCATCTATGAATAGTAAACAGCCATCAGTGTGCTAATGATCCATTGTTAGGCTGGTGGTCCTTCTTGAGCATGTGATCAGCTGGTTTTGGTTGTCAGCAGCAAACTGGTTGATCCACTCTGAGAAGGTGCTATTTAAGAGACTGAGCTGAAAACAGCACCTCAGACTGAGGAAGTCTCTTGGATGAGAGACGAAACGTTTCTAGATTTTTTTTGCTTTGTTTTGTTTTTTTTTTAATGTCCAGAGGACCAGATTTAACTTTTTTGGATTTTTCTACCTGGATTATTGAGCATGCATCAGGATATCAGATCAATGAGATTTCTAACTTATTTAGCAGATCTGGTGAGACACGTGAGAAATCAGCAAGGTCAAACCAGTCTCTCTTCACCACTAGTGAGGGTCAACAAATTGAACTTGTATCTTCATTCAAATATCTGGGATTTTTAATTGATGACAAATTGTATTTTAAAGCTCATATTCAGTTTACTGTAAATAAACTGAAGCTTTTACTTGGATTTTATTTTTGGAATAAATCCTGCTTTTCTTTTAGGGTAAAACAGAAATTGGTGGAGTCAACTTTTCTTCCGATTATTAACTATGGTGATGTATTATACATGAACGCCTCTGCTCAATGTCGTCACATGCTGGATAGCGTGTATCATGGCGCTTTGTGGTTTATTACAAATTATGGAGCCCTAACTCATCACTGTCTCTTGTATGAAAAGGTAAAATGGCCGTCTCTGCATGTACGTCGGCTTGACCATTGGTATGTTTTGATTTACAAGACTATTCTTAAGTTGACAGCACCTTATCTTTCATCTTTGTTAACTTTAAACAACATGACCTACAGCCTCCGGTCTAGAGACTTTTAAAATTTTAGTTCATTTTAATCCTCGTGTCAGAACAAAAAGGGCCAAGAAAGCCTTTAGCTTTTCTGCTCCAACCTCATGAAATAGTTTACAATCAAAGCTTAAACTTGGAACATTAGTATCTCTGAATGTATTTAATACCATGATAGATCCTTTTTACTGAAGTTGCAGAAGTTTAATTGTTTTAATTGAGTTGTTTGTTATTTAAGTCTATGTTTATTCTGACTACGTGTTGTAACTGTGTTTTTTACTGACTGTTTTTTTTTCCCTCCTCTCTCTGTCAGTCTTGACCAGGTCTCTCTTGTAAAAGAGCTCTTTTGATCTCAATGGGACAAACCTGGTTAAATAAAGGTTATGATGATGATGAAATGGTTCCACGAGCAGCTCTGAGGCTTGAATGAAGAACTCCTGGAACATGCCAGGTCCTGTTTGTAAATGAGAACTGGTTCTCAAACATTTCACCTGGTAAAATCAGATCAAATCAAATGTCAGAGAGAACAACAAAGTCCATGCTCAATAATCCAGGTTTACAATCCAACATTTTTCAGTCAGGTCATCTGGAGAGTTTCTTTTTTTTTTTTTTTTTTGTGCTAAAACATTTTGCCTTCAGTCCGGAAGGCTTCATCAGTCAAGGAAACACACAACAAAACTTATTATTGCACCAACAGCTTACTCCAAAGTGGAACAAGCCAGTTCTGCTTGTGATAAGATGGTCTCTTTGGTACGCCCCCTCCTCCATTGCCGGCCCTCTTCCTTGTTGACAGTCTTGTCAAACTGGTTGAAAACAACAAAGTCCATGCTCAATAATCCAGGTATACAATCCAACATTTTTCAGTCAGGTCATCTGGACAGTTTCAAGAAACTCCTCCCTCACTGAATAGAAACACAGCCCCTCACGTGCTGCTTTACACAAACTTACTAACGTGGTGAAGGCAGCACAGCTGAAGAGGATTATTATTTAATATATGTAAATAGTTTATTTTTTAGACATTTATTTTGTACAGTTACAGCTGTTTGTTAATAAATGTGCCTGTGTGACAACTGGGACAAAGCTTTGACTCTGAAATATATTTTTGTTATTAATTTATGGAAAGAAAAACATATTGAGATATATATCGTATATCACCATTTATCTTAAAATATCGAGATTATTTTAAGAAAATATTTTGGTCCATATCGCCCAGCCCTTGAACAAACAAATGACCACACAAAACTGTGACAAAAGCAAAAATATTATGGATCCATATTCACAAGCGGACATTAAAAAATTATGTTGTAGTTTGGCAGCAAATATGACATCAGTCACAGCTTTTATTTTGAAAACACTTGCAATCATTACTACTGTAATTCATAGTGTTTGCTTGCACAACAAAATCAACATTTTGGAAGTGGAGGCTGCTTGACAGCAGTTTCTTACTGCCTGACGTTCTCAGAGTTGGGGCAGGAGCTACATGTCAGACCACCACCAACCACACGTTGTTTTCTGTTACAGATGAAGTTCGTGTTAATAAATGGTGTGAAGCTGAGAAGAGTTCCTGGGTGAGTGATCCATCAGTTCGCTGGTATTGAACCAAACGTCAGGGTTACATAGGTATGTATT